GGTTGGACTTGATGATCTCAGAGGTCTCCTCCAACCTACCTAATTCTGTGACTCTAGATAAGCAGCCTCATTGTGAAACATGTCACTTGGTGGTCTTACCTGCAACTTTTTGAAGTTATTTTTGTTTTGCTTTGCTTTAGAACACAACAGTAAGATAACCAATGCTTAGATGTTTATCTAGCCATATATAGGGTTTGAAAATCTGTTGCAAGCAGGATGTTTTCCTGAGAAACTGCTATATAAAAAAAACAAACCAAAAAACGTTTCTAGGCCTTCTGGTTTTAATGAAAATCTTCTAATGCTCCCTGAGCAGCTAGAAAGGAAAGGAAGCTGAGGGAGAAGCTTGTACACCAACACTGGTCTGTCTGACCAATCGCTTTTGAAGAATCCAAATATACATCAAAGGCACAGAAGGTAAAAAAACCTCTTTTCACCACCTTTTGAAAGATGGTTTCTCATATATCTAGAAACACTTAAAGGTGGAGCATTAAGCCACTTTACCATTAGATAAATCCAGTATCTCCACTGTTTTCAGCTGCCACAGTACTATTCTATTATCAGACTACTTCTTATGAATCATATGGCTTCAAAATAAGTTCCAATTAAAGACAATTAGTCCTCTGATTACTAGGTACTTCATAAAGTGCTTCTGGATACACAGGTGAGATTGGCTACAGACCTCTGTGGTAAGTGAAATAACTCACATTTTTCATTATTTTGGTCATGTCAAACATTATATAAGCACAAGGTATTGTGGCTAGTAATTGAGATTAGTAATTGGTAATTTTTATGTCACAAGAACATCTGTATTCTTTGCAGACCTTTGTGACATCCACAGGGCTTTGTGACTCTGCACTATCTTCTCATCTTACTGGATAATGCTGATGCACTCTGCAAGAACTTACGGGAAAGCAATTGCTACCTCAGACTGTTACAATCAGCTTACGAGGAAATCTGCTTCAGTTTCCATAAGTGACACTGGGCAAGTCCCTAAGCCTATCTCACCTGGATGTGGGTAAATCAGCAAGAGAAATCGTTTCGATTACACACCGGCAGCAGCTACACAGCAGGGAGCAGCACAACTCCCTAGCAAGTTACTGAATGTGCGCAGGAATAAATCTGCTGCTCTAAATCTGGCAGCTTCTGTAACTGTTAACTTTAATGCTTACCTCCAAATACTTAATCCACCTGAAAATTTTACTACTGCTATTTAACAGGAAGTGTATTAGGTCTTTTTTAAGAAAAAAAAAAATAAAAAGCTCTATGAGTGTTCATACCTACATTCTTTCTAGTCCTACTGAGAGTTTCACATGTAGCTTCTGCTGGCTAATACAGAACAGGGATAAATTGTCCCAAGGCTGTCACACTTTTGCCAAGTGCACTCAGAACACTGGGGTATTGACCACTTTCCCCATTCCCTGATTAACAAGATAGTTCATAAAATCTTTTACAGTGTGACATGGAGACAAGAGACTACATACATTACTTCTGAAATGAAAGCAGAAATGCACTGAAGTTTGGGCCCCTCTGAGGAAGACAACTGCACACATTATCAAGTAATAGTATAATTCTTTTTATCTTCTCAATAGTTGCAGGCTGTGAGGGTGAATGAGAGGTGTGTGTGGCCAGAGAAACTTGCCTCACACAGCATTTCTTAATGAATCAATGACACCAAATGGGAAGATGTACAATAGCCCTGAGCATAACTTTCCTGTGTATCATGCCCAGGTATGTACATCCCAGCTCTCAGCACAGGGCTTTCCCAGGGCTCTTGCTAGGCCATGCTGTAGACCATTGGATCCACTTAGATTCTTACAACTATATAAGGAAAAACATCTTTTAAACTTTTATATACTTTTTTACACTTTTCTGCTTTTCCAGAGAACGAGTTCTTACAATGCTTCAACATACTTGCTACACAACTGGTTTTTATTGGGACCCACTTCTACCACCAGCACATCTTAATCCCCAAGTTCTTCCAGTGAAACGACATAATAATAAATTTACTACTAGTAAATTATTTCAGATTTTCATTTGCCTTGAGGCTTCTTGATATATGCCATTTCAGGGACAGAATACATCAGACAAAGAAATGCAAGCGTTGATAAAAGAGCCCAAGGTAAGTGTCAGTCAAAATACCACAAGAATTTGTGCAGTCCTTCCAAAGTTTTCCACTTCTTTCTCAACTGCAGAAGACAAAGCAGTACATCTGGGGTTTTAACAAGTCTTTTTACCCAAACAGAGTTATTCCTCATACACAGTAACATTTCTCAGTATACTGTTTTCCATTTCCTGTTTGTGGGGGGTTTTGTTTCTCATTGGTTTGATGTTTTTTGGCAATGAAAGTTACTTTAAAAGACTGCTTTTATTAATGCTCTCATTCAGGGTGCTACAAAAGATATCACACACCACAACAGAGCTTCCCTAGAAGCTGAAGGTTTTAATCCCATGTACATACATATGGAAAAATAAAAAAAGAGAAAACTTAAAAAGGCTGTTGAGGAAATCTAGATGAAAATTGTAATGAATTAACACTAGGTAAGGTAGCAGCCCACATCCCTTCTGGATGGGCATAACAATATTTGCATAGATAAAAACCTTACAGTCAAGATCGAAAACAAAAATAATTAAAGGAGAAAATCATATATAATTGCTCAAATGCACAGAGGCCATTGACTGATGAGAATTTTTAAATTTTTCACATATTCTGTGACCTGCATACTAACTGTTCATGCCTCCTCACAAGCTTCAACCTGTTTAAGGTTACTAAGACGTGACGGGCAAAAAAATCCCAACCACCCCCACTCTATTTTTGGCCAGCCGATTAATCCAAATAGAAATTCATAAATCTTTGTGCTTTCAGAAGAATTTACATCTTCAAAGTACCGAGAGCACATTTGCTAATCAATGAATTCCCCTGTCTCGAATCTGAAGGGCCTTGGAGGAATGGGGGGGCCAAACCACCACAGTTCAGGCAAACCTGGCCCCGAATACTTCACCAGCTTGATGCCACAGGGGCTGGCAGCGGCCTGGGCAGCAGCAGGTCGGGCGCTGCTGTGGTTTGTGCTGCCCGCTCCTGCACAGCTCGCTCCAGCCAAGCTGTGACTCAGAGCAGGGGATCTAAAGGTCACCTTCAGCACCCCGCCTGAACCCTGAGCGCTCGGAAGCTGCGCTACACAGGGTTCACCTTCCAGGTGCCTTTTTGCTCTCCGCCAGACCAGCCGAAGGCTCCTGAGATCAGCCTCGGTGAGGGAAGGCGGGCAGGGGCGAGCAGGGCCGGCCAGCAGCTCAGTGCCTTGGCCGGGCCATGGCAGAGCAGGTGCCACCCTCGGGCAGCCAGCTCGGCCCGGGCCCGGAGCCGCCTGCCGGGCCTGGGACTCGCAAGGCCGCCTCGGGGCACCGAATGGCTGCTGCAGCCTCCAGGTTTTGGCCAGTGAAGCGTGACATGGATTCGAGGAGTGATCACCACATGGGATAGGACTTCCTGCGCAAAACTGCCGGAGGGGGCCAAGCGAAGGGACCAGTACATCCCTGCCTCACGCAGGGTTTATTTCGCTCTTTCGCGAGCAGCCTCTCCCTCCTCAGCCGCTTCCATCGACGCCCAGCTCTCTCTCCCACCACCATGCCCACCGTGTTTGAACAGCCCGGGCTCGCCCCCAACCAGGCGGGACGGGGAGGCGGCCCCGCCGCCACCGCACACAAAGCGGCCGCCCGCCGCCACCGGCCTGCAGCGAGCGACGCCCCAGTCCCCGCCTCAACCTGCAGCCTATGAGCAAGGAGGCACCGCCCCGAGCGGCGGCAGGATTGGGATCGTGCCCGCGCCCGCCGCCGCGCAGCGCCGAGGAGAGCGCCGCGCTCCCGTCCCGTCCCGGCGCGTCCCGTCCCGTGCCGCGGCCCCGCGCCGGGAAGGAGGCGAGAGAGCGGTGGGTGCTGCCGCCGGGCAATGCGCGGGGGCGCCGGGAGCGCCGCCGCTGCGCCGCGCGGCCGCAAGGTGTCGCCGTTGGCAGCGGAACGGGGGCGCGGCGGGCGCGGTGCCGGTGCGGAGCGGGGAGAGCGGGGCCGCCCGCACGGGGCCCTGCCGGCAGCGCGGCGGCGTGAGAGCCCCGCTGGCCTGCGGGGAGGCGATCGCTACCGAGCGTGTACAGAGCCCCGCGTCCGAGCGGCTCCCTCGCCCGGCCGCTTCCCTTAGCCCTTGTTTGTTTATTTTCAATTGCCCCGGGGGGTTGCGCCCGAGGTCGCAGCGGCGGGAGGTGAGGAGGAACCGCGACGTTCCTCGGGGCCGGCGTGGCGCGGGGAGGGGCGGCCCCACGGCATCCGAACGCCCTCCCGGAGGATAAAGAGCGAACGGGGCTTTTGGCGCCAAACGCGCGGCCCCGCCCTGCGCGCGTGGAGCGGGGGCGGGGCCGGCTCTCCCGCCATTCTCCCGCTGTTTCCCAGTGCTCCCTCCAAAGCGTGTCAGGGTTTTTTTTTTATTGGTTTTTTTTTTGTTTTGTTTTTCTTTAACTTGCCTTTTTTTTAATGCCTTTTTGGGGGGTTAATAATATCCAGCTGCTTCAAAGGCAGGCAGTGACAGTGATCTGTCTGCGAGCAGAGGGTGGATGCCGAGGCCGGGGAGGCTGCGGGGGCCGGCGGGCGGGCACGGAAAGTGCTACAGACACCATCAGCTGCTTTTTTTTCCCCTCTCCCCTTTCCCCCTCCACTCCTCCCCCTCGCACACCCACCACCATCACCACGGAGGTAAGAAGAGGAAGCTGCAGGTTCTGGGCTGCAGGACAAAACCCCAGTCAAATAAATCCAATTCCCCATCGCGTTTTGAGTTGCCGAACTGGGAAGGATGGGGCGGGAAGGCGAGCGCAGGGGCAGAGCGGAGCCTGAATGGGGTTCTCACTGAGCAGAAGAAAATCCTGGAGGATATTTGTGTTTTGGTTTGGAGCTGTCGCACTGAGATCGCCTGTGTTTTGTAGGTGCCTCTTTACTGCTTTGCATTTTAAACAGTTTAATGTATTTCCCGAGTAGAAAAATGCACAGTCCTGGAGGCGCTTAGGGGGCGGGGCGGGAGCGCAGCTGAGCCGAGCCGGGCGCGTTTCTCGGCGTTTCATCATAAGGCTTTTCATGGATTTTTTTTTCCCCCTTTTTGGTCTCCGTCTCAGCGTCAGCTGTTGTGAACCCAGCAGAACGATTTCCTTCGCGTTACCTTAACCGAGCTGAAGGGAGACGCTGACTCGATTTTTTGGACTTTAGGCATTTTTCTTTTTTTAATTTTTTTTTTTTTTAATGTCTGATGCAACGGAGCTCTCTCTCGGCAGAGGAATGGGGCTGTGGTTGACGGGCCGTGGGTAGTGAGTGGGGGTCCGGCCGCGGGAAGGGCAGCAGCGCGCACTCCTCGGAGGTGAGAGCTGGTGTGTGTGCAGGAGCTTTGCGTGCATGAAGTGGCCGAATGTGCGGAGTTGCTGTCCTTGCAACCTCGTTGTTGTAGGAAAAAGGGGGGAAAACTTCCCGTGCTTTCTTGGCAAATCAGGAGGCTTTGTTGGTGGCGCCGGGGTGGTTTTAATGCATTTTTGTGCGTGAGGTTATTACATAAGGTTGATAATTTCTGTTGCTGCTGGATTTCCCCTCCTCCCCCTCCCCCCTTGTGTTGTGTGCGGATTTCGCTGGCTCGCTTTGAGTGAATGAACTGGCGATTTGCGAAGTTGCAAAGAGCCCCTCCGCCCCCCTTTTTTTTTTTTTTTTTTTTTTTGCATCTTTCTCCTCTCCCCTTTGCACTGTTCCGCAGTGACAAAAGGAGTAAACTTCCTCTACTTTTGCTGGCATATTAAGAAGCCTTTCTGGAGAGATTACGGTATCAAAGCCATGCATCTGTCTGCAGTTACTGTGCTGTTTTGAGCGTTTGAAGCGGTGTGGGGAGAGCAGGCAAGGGCTATGTACACAGGCTGTGCATCCCCGCCGGACTGTGCAGCCTGGGTCTGTGTCCCCACGGAGCGGCGGGGCAGGCTCTGCACGGGGGAGCACTACCTGAGCGCTTTGATTTCAGTATCTTGAGTCGGGAGGAGAAAGGTGTGTGAGATGTTTTTTTTTCCCTCAACTTTCTAAAGGCTCCTTCTTGCTTGCTATTTATGATGGGATTATTAATTTTTTTCCTTCCGTTAAGAGGAAGGGACTCACGTTCGTGTCTGTTTGTTCGTATTTTTAATTGTGATTTTGTTGTTTTGTCTTTTTTTTTTTTTTTTTTTTTTTTTTTTTTTTTTTTTTTTTAGTTTCAGGTCGTGGGAGAACCTCTCTTCTTCCCCTTGGTGGAAATATCGATAAAACCTGTGTTTGAAACTATTGCTTGACACAGGGATCAGCAAAAAGACACCCGTAATGCCAGGAATGGTCAGTAAAAACCCAGACCTCGAGTTTGACTCTTTGCAGCCTTGTTTCTACCCGGACGAAGATGACTTTTATTTGTGCGGGCCGGACTCCGCTCCCCCGGGAGAGGACATCTGGAAAAAGTTTGAGCTGTTGCCCACCCCTCCTCTGTCTCCCAGCCGGGCCGGGCTGCAGGAGCACCCTCCGGGAGGGGGCCCGGTGCCGTGGGGAGGAGCGGCTCTCTGGGGCTGCCGCCCCACCGACCCCGTGGACTGGGCATCGGAGCTGCTGCTGCTGCCGCCCGAGGCCGACCTGTGGGGCGGCATGGACGGAGGGGACTTCTTCGAGACGGGCCCCGGCGTGACGAACAATCTCAACTCCATCATCATCCAGGACTGCATGTGGAGCGGCTTCTCGGCGCGCGAGAAGCTGGAGCGGGCGGTCAGCGAGAAGCTGCAGAGCAAGGCGCCCGCCGCGCCGCCGCCGCCCCCGGGGGCCGCGGGCAGCCCCGCCAGCGCCCGCGCCGAGCTGGGCGGCGCCGTGCCCGAGTGCGTGGACCCGGCCGTGGTCTTCCCCTTCCCCGTCAACAAGCGGGAGGCGGCGGGCGGAGGGGCTGCGCGGGGCGGCCGGCCGCCGCGCCCCGCCGGGGACAGCCGGGCGAGCAGCAGCAGCAGCTCCTCCGGGGACGACACGCTCAGCGACTCAGGTAAGCGCTCCGGCCCCAGGGTGCGGAGGTGGGGACGGGGGTGCCGGTGCGGCCCCCGCCGGCCGCTCTGGGGGCGGGCGGGGCGCTGAGCCCGGAGCCGGGCGGGGCGCGGGGCGGCCGGCAGGCGGCAGCAGGCGCGGGGCCCGCGGGGGCGGCGGGCACGGCCCGGGAGCAGCGGGCACGGCCCGGGAGCAGCGGGCACGGCCCGGGGGCAGCCCCCGCCCGCCCCTCGCCCTGTGCCGGCTGCGGCGGGCCCGGAGCCTTCACCGGGCAGCAGCTCCAGCCCGGAGTGGCTGCGTGGGGCTGGGCAGCCTCCGGCGCCCTGACAGTCTCCTGCCCCCGGGGGGCTCGCGGGGGTGGCAGTGCGGCTGCCACCGCCGCCCTGGGCACAGGTTTACGGGGGATGACCGTGTGCGCGTTCCCTTAGGCACCGTGCGGGCAGGCTGGAGCTAGACCAGTGAACCCTTAGAGCAGCGCTTGTACTGACTGAGCCCAAAATGCTTCAGACATCCTGTGTGTGTGTACGCAGAGAAGTCCCCTTGGGCTGAACCGCGGTTTGGCGTGTGTAGATGAGCTGGTCCCTGTGACCACCGCTGCAAACTTGGTGATCCGTCCCGGGTTTCAGAGCCTGCTGTCCCTTTAATGTCTGGTTTGACAGCTTTGGGTGAGGAAGCACTTCCAACAGCTGTCTTCTTGGCAGTGCACCAAGCGCCGGCTTAAAGGGTCCCCGGCTGGAGCAGCTTCACCTTCTGCCTCAGAACAAACCCAGCGATTGTTTCGTTTTCCGGCTGCTTTTCTACCAAGCAGGGGCTGTGTTGTGGCTCTGTGCTTGCCTTTTGTGCCACAATTCGACGATTCCATTCAAATTACATACATTCTGTCTAAAAATTCTTTTCTGCCACTGTGATTGTGTGGGTGGTAGCCCCATTTTGATTGAAAATTAGATGTGTTTAAAAAAACCCATCTCATCAAACTTACTAAGCTTTCAGAAATCCCTGTTCTTTGTTGATTTCATGTGTATTACACACTTTTACAGATCTATATCTGACTGCAGATGGTGGGTGCACCGCGGTTTTGCCATCAGTTTCATTACGGCTTTTACTGGATATATATTTTGTCAACAAATACTGATACTTGTAATCAAGGTATTTACAGAGAGAATGATGTCTGTTTTATTTTCTGTCCTTTATTACCAGAAGATGATGAAGATGAGGAGGAAGAGGATGAAGAAGAAGAAATAGATGTTGTTACAGTGGAGAAAAGACGCTCCTCTACCAACAAGTCTGTTACCACCCTTACTATTACAGTGCGTCCTAAGAACACCACTTTCTCATCAGTCAGGACACAGCAGAATGGACTCATACTAAAGCGTTGTGCCCCAATTCACCAGCAGCATAATTATGCCGCTCCTTCTCCATTCGTGGAGGCTGAAGAGTCTCCACCACAGAAGAAGTTAAAAGTCGAGGTGCCCCGTCCAGTAAAACCCACGATCCAACCAAAGCTTAAGAGTTCAAGTCCTCGAAACTCTGATTCAGAGGACAGTGAACGTCGACGCAACCATAACATCCTGGAGCGTCAACGACGTAATGATCTACGGTCAAGTTTCCTCACTTTAAGGGACCATGTTCCAGAACTGGTTCAAAATGAGAAAGCTGCAAAAGTTGTGATCTTGAAAAAAGCCACTGAGTATGTTCATTCTCTTCAGGCAGAGGAGCAGAAGTTACTGCTAGAAAAGGAAAAATTGCAAGCCAGACAAGAACAATTACTAAAGAAAATAGATTACAAGCGGACTTGCTAAACTTTTTTTTTTTTGTTTTGGTGTTTTTTTCTGGCTGATCAGGACAGTCATTGCCACTTTGCACATTTTTGATTCTTTATAAAAAAATTGTGTTTTTTGACGTTAAGAATGTTGGTTTTAATTTCAATCCAGTCCCTGAAGTAATCGACAGACTATATTATCCGGGTACGGAGCAAATGATTTTTCTTGCAAGGAGTTTATTGCAAGATTACCAAACAACAATGGACTGCCTTTGTTTTTCTCCTTAAGAACTGTAGATGGTGGGGATTTTTTTTTTTTTAAGTGTTGTGAGCATTTGGAGCTGCTGATGACATCTAGTTGAGTTTTAAAATGTTCATTCCTAAGTTTTATGGTGCTTATGTTCTAACAGATGTTACTTTAGGGGTTGGCATTTTGTGCCCCTGTGGGAATTTCTGTAAATACCATCTACACACTTGCCTTTTGTACATGTCTTGGGTTATGAGAGGTGGCTTTTGCTGCCAGTATTAGACTGGAAGTTCATACCTAAGTACTGTAATACCTCAATGTTTGAGGAGCATGTTTTTGTATACAAATATATTGTTAATCTCTGTTATGTACTGTACTAATTCTTACATTGCCTGTATACTTTAGTATGATGCTGATACATAACTAAATTTGATACTTATATTTTCGTATGAAAATGAGTTGTGAAAGTTTTGAGTAGATATTACTTTATCACTTTTTTGAACTAAGAAACTTTTGTAAAGAAATTTACTATATATGCCTTTTCCTAGCCTGTTTCTTCCAGTTAATGTATTTGTTAATGTTTGGTGCATAGAACTGGGTAACTGCAAAGTTCTGTGTTTAATTTCTTCCAATGATGTACATTTAGTGCTGCGTCTTATAGCACTTTGAAATACCTCATGTTTATGAAATAAATAGCAATTACATGATGTGCCATTTACTATTTTTCTTTTAAATAAAATCTTTAACTGCAGTATTGATGAAATACAAAAAGCACGGTCCCATACCCTTGGCACTTCAACTGTCAGACTGTAGCTGACACTACAAAGGTCAGCTGGGCAGGACATTTCTGTTTCTGGTTAAATAATAATTGTAGTAAGAAATATGTTCCTGTTATTTCATACTTGTCTTGTCAGGATTATCCCAGGGGAACAGATTTACCACACTAATGGAATGATTCCTGTGTCGTGCAAAGACTCCTCAAATATCTACTGGGCCCAGAGAATTGTGAGGGATCACAAACATGGCTAGCAAACTTCTGCTAAGGGATTGGCCTCTGTGGCACACTGGTGAAGTAAATGATGGAGGCAGACTTGCCAAGGCATAGGAAATTAAATATTGTAATAAACAAAGATCTTAACTTGGCTGCAGTTCTTTGCATTAGGAAAGCCTCAAAGCTGTCCATCATTGCACTGGAGAATTAATGTTCTTGTTTGTAGCTGAAGGTCCTGTTTGTTACTGCATTAGTTAGTACAACTGAAAATATCAGGGAAGATGCAGAGCCATGAAGTGTGTATCAGATGAAGATGGAACTTGGTTGTCTCTGGAGTTGACTTTTGGTATGACAGGAATAAGACACTTTATGCAATCTGTTTGGTCATTGTATTAAAGACCATGAGACCAGGTGTTTTATTTTATAGTCTCTACAGGTATTTTTGACACAGGTATTTTCCTCACACTGAATCTGAAAAAGAGAAGGTAGGAATTAATGACCAAATGGCTAGAACTTTCCAGATCCACGTGCAAGAAGCTCACCTGTCACATCTGCCCCTGCTTTAGCCAGGAAGGAAGTAGCTTGTCTGTTGATGGAGGTACAGAAATCCTGTATTTCCTATGAGGTAACAGGAAGAGCAGTGTGGGGGCAAGCACCCCCCACTTAATGGATGTGCCATATGTCTGTCCCTACAGGTTGTTGATGCACTCATAACCGATGTGCTCTTGGGGCCCAGGCAGCTTCTGTACCATGACTACCAAGAACTGTACATGATCAGTGCAGTAAATCCAGATCTTCAACACGGGTAAATTGGTGTAACGCTGTGGATTCAGCTAGGCCTACACAAGCATTTGAAGAACTGGGCTGAGTAAAGATCTAAATTCAGACCCAACCATAGTTGTTCCATATATAGAATCTTTGTTTTGATTCCCTTGACATGCTTCTTCCACTTTCCAGCTGCAGTGATAAAACAGTAGACAAAGACAATTGGTGTGAACAATTACAGCATACATTTAGTTTTACTAGCTAAAACAATTTTTAGCCCCCTTTTTTTAGCAATTTCTGTTGAACTCCTGTTGCACTGTTTTCAAACAAGGTATGCATCAAATGAGTATTCTTGAGGACGTAAAGTCCCTTCCCATTCTCCTTCTCCTTTCCTTTCTTCACACTCGTGGAGAACTTTGGTCCAAATCCTCCACTCAGAGTGAACTCTGGATCAGATCAGGTTGCTTAGGGTCATGCAACCAAGGCTTGAATATCTTAAAGGATTGAGATTCCACAGCCTCTTTGGACAACACGTGTTTTTTGCCTACCACGACTGATTCAAATTTTTGTACTACCTGAAATTTTCCTGGTTGCAATCCTTGTCCATTGCCTCCTGTTGAACCTCCTGGAAGGGTCTAGTTGCACCTTGTCTGTAACCTCCCAGTACGGAGTTGACGGCAGCAATTACTTCTTTCTCTTCTTGAGATAACCCAGTTCTGTCTTGTGGTAACTAAGCATTTAGAGTATAATGAAGGTATCAAATAATCAAATACTCAGATTTGTTTGGCTATTCAACACAAATCCCAGCTCAAAGCCTCTATTTCTCACTATAAATGTGGGAGTTTTGGTCTGATTCTTTAGAATTCAGTGATAAACGTCCAACTGATGTCTGTGAAGACAGAATCTAGTGCCATAATGTTCCCATACACTGTACCATTTGCCTGCTTCTCTGTGCTGCACTAGCAGTACTTTAGCATTGTCTTTTTTTTTTTTTGCTTTTTCTTTTTTAAAATAAGGAGTTGATAGTTTTTTTTCATATCATCACTGTAGGGATTAAGTTGTCAAGGTCAAATATTTCTGGTAAAAAAATCTCAGTTGTAGGATGTTAATAAAGTTACAGTTGTTAACTAGAAGATTTCTTTTGTAGTTACATGATAAAAAGAATTGAGAGTTGAAGGAAAGACAGCTGTTGAAAAGAAGTGAGCAATTAATTGTGTAATATTTTCTGGAGAATCAGTACAGTAGCCAGAAGGCTGCATAGAGAAAGACATAGGATCATAGCTGCAGCCATTACAAAAGATCCTTTTGCAAGTGTATCTAGAGTGGGGAGTCCATAAGAACTCAGTCAAATAATTAATTGAGACGTTATTTCCTTTTGGGTTTTTTTTTTAAATACATACCTATATTTGCATAACAAATGCAAAAATATCTGTCTGGAGAATCATATGTGGCAAGTACCTAACAGCTGCTTATTACAAAGCAGATATTGCTGATTCCTGAAAGGAGAACTGAATTAAGTTGATCTCAGCCTCATTGGATCTGCTATAAAATTCCCAAGTTCCTTTTCATACAAGAGAGAATTTGCTGATAGTTTTCTCCAAAATCACATATCCCAGAGGATGCTCTCCTTCCCTCCTTCTGTTTATTTTCTTAAAAATACCACTAAGAACACAAGGGACTTGTAACACTGAAATGAAATGATTCCTCCATAAATTAGTAGAAGTGAAACACCAGTGGGAGACCTTAAAAAGGTGAAATGTGTTAATGGTGTCATTACCACTCGGTCACCTGTTGCCATGAGTGCTAAAGAAAGTGCATTTCTCAAACCCTGAGCTGCTGTTATAGCAACTTATCACCAGGTCTTGGCAGGACTCCTTGAGAGATCCCGAAATATATAATTTACAGTTTGCTCCTGGGAAGTATACTGTTAAACCAAGCTAGAATAAAATTACTTCAAGTGGGTGACATTCTTAAGCTTGAATTTCCTGGCTTCTGGCTGGTTTATATCAGAAGATGTAATTTGATTTAGAATATTAATTTTGAGATAATTAGTAAATTTTTAATGTACAATTGCAAAATGCTATATGATCTCTACCTGGGTTACTTTCTTCTCCTTGTGTCAATCTCCCATTTCCCATTTCCCTATTCCCTTCCCTGTCTCTTTTTCTCAGGAACACAAAGCCATCAAACTTAAAGGGACTTGAGCACAGCACACAAAGCTTTTGAATTAAGCAGGGATGTCAGTAGAAACAGGAGATACACAACACTTCCAGAAATCTCAGAGGAAAGCAGTGGTGCAAAACGCGGAACAGAAGCTGATTGTGGAGCCAACATGGTGAGTTTTGCCTCAGCACTTCTGGCTGCTCCTGAAGCACTGACAAGCCTGAATTCAGAGCCCTTGGTCTGTTCCAAGACAAGCTTTCACTTTTGCTGAACTACCTGTCCAATTTGCTGCCCTACAGTAGTTTTTTTGCTGCCTATCTGATTTTACTGACCCTGCAATGAAGCTTGGCCACCGTAAACCAGATGTTTTGCTGCTGGGTTGTTTGACGTGATAATTCCTGCTGCCTGCAGATCTTTGGTTCTCATCCAGCTTTGTGCCCTTACTGGCCAGATCCTTCTCTTGATGAGATTTTGATATTTTTGCACAACAGTCAACTTGGAGAAGGTAAAATGAACTTTTGATGTCTGAACCATGGAGGTTCCTTATATATATGCTGGATGAATAGATTAACACACATGCTGTGCGCACACAAGAGATTCCATAACTGTTGATCCATGAGCCCTGCTAAATAAAGCCTAGTGTATATTTTAACTGAGTAAGTTACAAGGCTGTCCACTTGGCCCTTTGAAGAAAAAGCAAACAAAGACATTTTGTTTCCTGTATTTATGATCACAGTATGACACACCTAAATAATGCAGAAATTAAAAATAAGCATCTACAGTGTAATCATAAATAATGGCAAGTATTTTTTAACTCCATGGTGAAATGGAGGGGTGTGTAGACTTATCAGACTTAAAATTTATCAAACTTCTAACTGAATTATGACCTATTTGTTGCTGATCTCTGAATTGTTGCATTTTGTATGCATGATCATTGTTAGGCTCCATATATGCTATTATGGCTGCTCTGTTTGTGAGCTATGTCATTTGCCATCATATAGTGTTTGCATCTGACATTATTTAGATAAGTGGAGACATTTTCATTTTATGGTAAAATAAGATTATTTAATTTTTCTTATTCTGTGCTCCCAATTTCTCAAAGTTATTTGTCTGCTTTAAGTGTTTACTGCTTTCTCTCTGCTTTCTGTCTTCTGTACTGCATGCATTTAGGGAGAGGAACTCTCTTCTATGTTATCTGTCTGAAGCTGAGTTAGATTGTCCTGTGAGTGGCTGTATCAATCATAAAGCTATAGCAAGAGTCCTGTTGTCTAACAGCTACACAGAGCTTAGTTTTATATTAGGGGTAGGATGAGTCATGCTGTCTACATCTGTCTAGTTTCACCTTCTAATCTACGAGCTTTACAAGCATTACAGAGTTTTAAGCAACTAGCTGCTTAGCTTCCTAATTCTCCTTATGTAGTCAGCAGAGAGATGCAGGCTCTTCCCAGAACACAGTCCAGAGCATCTGCATTGGGCTTTACCTGGAACAGGCCCAAGCACTGCTCTGTACCTTGAGGAAAGAGTGATTACAGCATGCAAGGGGTGATTACGGGAACTGGGCTAAGGGCTGCTTCATTGCTGCTGGGTAACCAGGTTACTTGATCTCTTGCTGATCTTACTTACCATATGAAATTTAAAGCAATGATTTGGAGAAAACTGCAGGCTAATAGATGCTTTATTTGGAATAAAACTTTGCATGAATGTAGGATAGTTGCTTTAATCGGCATAGTTGGTTTATTTGCAATTAAATAAAATATTTCAAGGGCACTTATCTCCATTTCACTTCCT